TATAATACCCCCTCTTTAAGTAATAAAATTGAAGTAACACATTAATTATCATGTAAGTAACATTAATTACACTTTTGTTACCATGGTAGTTCAAATTACAGAGGTCTTAGTGAATGTTTTTGGGCAGTGCGTGTGATGTGTGCGTGTGATGTTATAAAATACTCGACATTTCCAAACTAAAGTCTCATATATTTAATCGTTTGTAAAAGGCTTGTGGCGGTGATTTTTTTTGGTTGTACCACAGAAATGTTCAGGCGAAGCGACGTCACAGCAGCAACACAAAGATTCAAGAACATTCGATAAAGTGCAACAAGTGCTCGTCTGAAAACTGAACGGAGACACGAGGGAAATACATTCAAAACAACGAGTACGACGAGAAGCACACCGAGAAAACCGACGTACTCCGATTAGATTAGAATAGGATTTCAGAACAGCGTGTAAACAAGAGACTCAGACTACTACTTGGTGTTATGAAGAAATCAGATTATAATTGGATAACAAGCGTAGTCGGAGTACTCTGTATAGTCAATGACAATCTTTTCTCCATTTGTTGACAAATACGGCTTAATTATCCATAATTAATCATGAAGAAGGACTTAATTCACAATGAAAAATACTGTATTAAAGGTTTTATATTACGCAAAATTGACTCTTGTGAGATTTAAGTCATGTTATAATGTCGTTATCTCCTCAAAAACAGACCTGGAGTTGTGTTTTGTTTTATACACATGTTTGAGAAATCATTTATTATTAGTATGTCTATTAGCCTGATTCATCAGACGGTTTCACTTTGTAGAAACCGTCTGACCTCGCAGCGTTAGGATTCATTCGCTTGACAGTAGGCGTGTACTTTTTATCATTTAACCAATCGCTTATATTTGGTTGTGACGTATGTAATCCCAAATCCTGTAGGAAGAAGGACAATAACGTCTTTCCCCTTGATAAAATTCAACAAACATTCTCTTTGTTCCAGCTTTAAATCCTCGATCTCGGGAATTGTTGCCAACACAGAATATTTGGCTCTTCACTGATTGGCTGGTGCCTGAACTTGCACTTCTGGGGTTTTTGCGAACCGTCTATTGTATTTTGATTCCTGACCTAGTTGCTGGAGAGACATGAAATTGAGCGGAGGCACTAGGTGACGCCAGCGAGGTTATATGTCTACTACTTTAAAGCTCAAAATTATCTGTTCTACCTTGTGATGTCATGAAGCAGTAGTTTTATTCAGTAGAGATTGGCAATTTGGCGCTTAAATTATCCAAATGATTCTATTGAAGGTGTACAGACTTTAAAAACACAGTGGAGCACTTCCTGTATTGACAAACGGGCCAAGGACACATCAGACTTTGGATCAGTCATCAACTGTTGCCTGGACTATGGATCGACTTCAATCTTTTCCTGTTCCATTTCTCGCTTTGTGGCTGAAAACATTAGGATATTTTAGGGCACGTGCTCATGACAGAGACAGGAGTCACTTCAGGTGTAACTAAGACTTTTTCATCTGCTAAATCGTTCCCCATGGTGACAGAAACCTCGCTCTGGGGACGCCAGAGCTCACACCAACAACTGCGTCCCCGGACCACAAATCTGACTGAATCACAATCTTGTGCAGAGGGACACAGAACCAACAGCAGTGTCGCCTGACAAGGGCAACACGCCCTCGAAAAATAAAGGACTGCGACGCTGCGGTGTTCCTTAATACTTTCACTTGGACCTTTTCGGCGTTTGCTTTTGACGTGACATCACAAGGTTGAACAGAGTGTTTTCAGTTTGAGAAAAGAACTCAGCGACTCCAGGTCTGTTTGTGATGAAGAAACAACATTATAACAAATCAGAAAATTGCGTAATACAGTTCCTTTTAGAAAAATTCAAGCTTAGCAACTACTTAATTTAGTGGTTATGGTTTGAGTATTAATTAAGCAGTTATTAAGCCTTTCTTCATGCTTTATTAAGGACTAATTAAGGCGTAATTATGATAGTAACCGGATTATAATCAGATAACAAGCATAGTCAGAGTACTGGTAGTGAATGACAATGTTTTTCTCTGTTTGTTTTAAAGGGACTTGCATTCACTCGCTGCAAACATCCCATAATTTGATTTAAAGCACGATTCAAAGTCGATAATATAAATACTATACTATGGTTTGACCAGAAACACATGTACCTGTAAACAGAGATGTCCCCAAAACAAAGGAAATTGCACATTCAACACATAGTTAAAGTGAGATTATTATAATGTTCAAATTACACGTTCGGGGTAAAACACTGGTCTGGTCACATGACACGCCAGAGCCAATCAGAGACGAGGGATTTGACAATGACCAAGTGATTTTGTGTAATGATTTGTCTCAAGTTTGATTTTTTTTGGTTTGTTTTCAAATTTAGAGCTTGATAACAAATTTGAGGCATAAAAATCAATTGTAATAGTCAAATTTTTTTCTAATTATATTAAAAACTAGAATACAAATGTTTAAATTAAATGAATAAATATAAGAATATACTAAAATATAAACTACAAATACTGTTTTCATCCATTAGATTCATGTCAGTATCTGTAAAGAGTTTAATTTCTTATTTACAAGAAATACTAAACATATTCAGAACAATACGTATTAAATATTATTAAGTCTCTGTCGTTTTAACTAAAGCTTCTTCCATGGCGATCTGCTTGTCTCAGTGGAAATGTCGTGTTGCCTGAAATGTTCCACATTGCGGAGTTAATCTTATCTATTGCCAGTGGTGTAGTGGGGATTTTTTAAGTGACGTCATCGATGTTATTAACATTAACACCTTTCATAATCACTTACAGAACATAAATCATGGACTACAGCACATGTGCCCTGAACCAGGACTGAAGCAGGACTAAACCAGGTCTAAACCAGGGCTAAACTAGAGCTAAACCAGGTCTAAACTAGGACTAAACCAGGTCTAAAGCAGGACTGAAGCAGGACTAAACCAGGTCTAAACCAGGGCTAAACTAGAGCTAAACCAGGTCTAAACTAGGACTAAACCAGGTCTAAAGCAGGACTAAAGCAGGACTAAAGCAGGACTAAACCAGGTCTAAACCAGGGCTAAACTAGAGCTAAACCAGGTCTAAAGCAGGACTAAAGCAGGACTAAAGCAGGACTAAAGCAGGACTAAACCAGGTCTAAACCAGGGCTAATCCAGATCTAAACGAGGACTAAACCAGGTCTAAACCAGGGACAAACCAGCAGGACTAAAGAAGGACTAAACCAGGACTAATCTTGGACTTGAGAGCGAGAGAGAACCCTGACCCTATGGAGCAGGGTGTCCACAAAGCGCAATTGGGTGATGGCTGCGCTTAAGCCCCGTGGGGCGCCGAGGTCTACGATTGTCCTTTCGCCTGCGGTCACTTGATGGTCTACGGGTGCAAATCTGGGCCCAGCACTCAGTCCTGTTTCAGTTCTGGTTTAGTCCTGGTTCAGGTCACTATAGGACAGTGCTGCAGATATCTAAGCCTATGCAGTTTGTTTTTACCTTTGCCAGTAGCTTCAGTTTGACATTTAAGTTGTAGCTATTTTATATTTGTTATTTTTTTATATCTCACATCGGGAGAAGTAGGCGGATGGCGTTCCCCTGTGTACCACGCCCACTACACCCCTGTCTATCACCATGGAAACAACCGCAATACCAAGTTATACCAAGTCAGATTTGGCTTTAATGAGCGCTGGTTTCCTGGTCATTATCAAATCCCCTCTCTTCTTGTTTAAAGGTGCATTGCGTAACTTTTCTCGTGGAGGATTTGTCATATGCTTGTCTCCTTCAAGATGTTATTGCTTTGTCTGGAATGTTTCACAGTATGGCATTAAACCTTTCTACTTTCATGGAAACCAAACCTGTTTTTCTAGGTATTTTTGAACTTTAAAACCACCTATAATTGAGTAAATGTAAGGTAGAGTTGTTTAAAGTCATACTGTGGAACATTCCAGGCAGAGCAATGACATATCCATAACAAAACAAGCAGGTGACGGACTCCCAACCAAACCGAAAAGTTACGCAGTGCGGCTTTTAGAATCCATTGGTCCGTACAGTTCAAGTGCGCCTCATCCATCGTAACAACAGTCTCTGCTCATTCATGCAAACATGCTTGCAGCTAACACGTTTCCAAAGTCATTTTAAACCATAAATAGAAGAAAATAAGAAACTAAAGCTCGTATAAATCCACTTTCACACGTCTCAAATCCAAAACGATCCATTGTCTTCAACCATTTCTGTGCTTGGTGGCGATTCACCGTAAGTTACAAATTCTATAGTGGAAAATATGTACCTCTTTTTTTGCTTAAAGAGCCAAGGCATTTTTGCACCATGAAGTAAACTTAGAAACTTCAGAGGTAGAGGCCATTTTTTTGAGTAAACAATTGAAGTCGTCTTGTTTTTTTTTCCTAAATAAAGCAGTTCTTAAGCTTAAAAGGGGGAAGTAGACACTGCGGTGGGCGGGAGAGGGCACAGCAAAAACAAATGTCTACAGAATTTGTTCTAAAGTGCGTATGACAATTTGACAAAAACACAATTAAGATAATTATTTTTAAAGGTGCACTGTGTACCTTTTTGGTTTGTTTCTGCTTGTTTCTATGGATACGTCATTGCTCTGCTGCCTGGAATGTTCCACAGTATGACATTAAACAGCTCTACTTTATATTTATTCAATTACAGGTGGTTTTATAGCTCAAAAATAGCTAGAAAAACAGAAATTCTGATTGTGAACGGGGTCGTCTCTCCACAGATCTGACCTGTAACTTGGTCTAGTTTGGTATCCATGACGATATAAAGGGCCATACTGTGAAGCATTCAAGACAAAGCAATAAGATCTCCGTGGAGAAAAGCGTTTGACAGACCCAGAAAAGTTACACAGTGCACCTTAAGATTTTTAAAGTTTGGTCATTTTTAAGGTTTAAAATTTGACTTCTATAACAGATACCTCGCAAACACTCGCCAAACATCCTCTAATTTATACTGGAATATGATTTGACAAATAAAAATACAAGAAAAACCTTTATTTTGTTGAAATGTTAAATATCATTTGTATTTACAACAGGTATTATCCCAACAAATTAAGTCAAAATTAGAGTAAATCATTAGTAAAGTAAACCTGCCATGCGCACTTTAATGACTTGAAATAGGACTATTATGTAGATGTTTCAGATTTTAATATATTGAGCTCTATTCACGCTCACAGAACCGGAAGATGTTTGGAAACAAGTGGATGACGACTATCTTTGGGCTCTGTTGGCAATAGTTTCTCATCAAAATTTGGGAAAACTGAGACGGTTTTCTTCATCTAGATGTCATTGTATTCTTTCTTTTTTCCTTTTATAAATTGCTTATTAATTTGTGTGTTATAATTTGTCTAATTTAATAAAAAAGATGTCATTGTAGCTTTCCGTTATGCTCAGCGGATCAACAATTCCAACCAGCTGCCTGTAAGTGACATCGAAGATCCAATTAGAGTCACATCCTCAATGAAAAGCTTTGGCAGGTTGTGGAGACGCTGCTGCTGAATCCATGGTTTTATCACATGCCCAGTGTCAGGAACTACACCGGAAGTCGTCTAGCCTGGTTCATCAGCCGGTTTCTACGAAGTGAAAAACCTGACCTCGCAGCATTAGGATTCGTTCGCTCGACAGTAGGCGGGTACTTTTTTTAATTTAACCAATCGCTGCTATTTGGTATATTAAGCTTTTCCCAAATCCCGGAGGAAGAAGGGCAATAACGTTTTTCCCCTTGACAAAATTCACCAAACATTCTCTTTGTTCCAACTTTAAATCCTTGATCTCGGGAATCGTTGCCAACACAGAAAATATGGCTCATCGCTGACTGGCTGGTGCCTGAACTCACACTTCCAGGGTTCTTACAAAACCATCTAGTGTATTCTGATTCCTGACCTAGTTGCTGGAGAGAAATGAAATTGAGCGGAGGAGTCGCCATCTGCATGTTTCCAAACGTCTTCCAGTAAGCGTGAATAGAGCCTTTTGTCCCTCATTTAAATAGGTAGTTTCAGTTTTGTCTATTAAATGGCCTTTCTGAAATTAAATAAACTCCAAAACAAGCCACATAAGTTGAACAAAATTCACTTAAACTAGTAAAAACTTATAACGGAATTCAGGTAATTTTTCTTTCTGTAGACATGGGTTTTTGCGTGTGCGGCCTCCTCACACGTACAGGATCACGTTGTCGGGACAGTGCTGAAGGCTTTCCGTGGGGGGGTGCGTGGCGCGGCAGGACGGGGGGCAGGTTTTGGGTTTGGGCGAATCGCAGTCATCAGAGGTCAGTTCGGCGATATCGTCCGACTGCGTGTCTGACATTTCCAGATCGCTCCGGATGCTTTCGGGTTGGGCCAGGGTCACGTCTCTGAGCCCGTCCCTGAGCGAGGCTCCGGGGGACAGGCTCAGAGCTCCCCCCCGCCGAGAGCTGCAGTCCTGGGGCTCGTCCCGGGCGGAGGGCGGGTGCGGGCGTGTGGAGGTCTGAGGGGCGGAGGAGGCGGCCGGAGGGGTCAGGTCCTCTTCGCTGGTTAGACACAAGTGACTCGGTTTGGTCTCGATGTCCACCTGGATCTCGAGGTTTGTGCACTCCCTACAGACGGAGAGAGGGAGGGAGGGAGATGGAGAGAGCGAAATAAAGGGAGCAAGACAAGGGGGAAGAAGGAGGGAGAGGGAGGATGAGAGAAAGAGGGGGAGATAGAGAATTTAATAAAGCGTCACAGGTATCTGCAAGATAAAGTTAATGCTTTAGGCTGCACTCACACCTCACACTAGGACTTTAGAATCATGCCATGCTCAAGCACAATTGCTGTGGGTTCTATGGTCCACACACACACCTGCACAACTGAACCAGGTCACGGCCGATGTCGTCATTACACAACGCTGTTTGTTTACATGTGCTAACGCTTTTAGCAGAGAAAATAAGTCCAGCGACAGAAATATCTATAAAATAGTGAAGCAGATGTGTCTCCTCTTACAATATACGCTCCTCCGTGAGTATATGAATATAAAAACAGCGCGGAGCAGTGATGACAGATGGAGACAAGAGGCAGCTAAACTTCTGTCTGTCACAGTCCTTACTGAAGGTCAGTGCAGATTCACTGTGTGTTTGGGAACGGATTTTATTCAGTGTTTTCCTCGTATGAGTAACATCTGCGCACCTATCAGGGCTTGCATAGTAAAGTCGTGTGTTTGTGTACATGAGAAACTGTGCCGTGCTTTGGCCCACCTCCTGCAACTGAGCCAAAGTCCCAACCGTGCTGTGCCTCACCACGTTTTGACTGTGCTCACACTGGACAAATGTACCACGCTTCAGAGGCAATCCATGCTTGGGCACGGTTCTAAAGTCTTAGTGTGAGCGCACCTTTAATGTAATTTTAATACAAACTTAATAATAGTAATAATAGTAATATAATGTGTGTGGTGTTACCTGTCGGGCAGCGTGTAGGAGGAGATGATGGACCCGGCCATGCCCCTGGTGCTGGCACAGTCGCTGCCAGCGCCCAGGCTCCCGGTCTCCCTCTGGGGCTGTTCCTTCAGCTCCCCGGCCTGGACCTCCAGCCTGTTGGAAATTACACATTTTTTATCATCGTATTTTACTTTGAAACACTTTGTGACCAGCCCTGCCAGCAAGTTCACAGACTGTTGAGAATCTGTCTTGTTCAGGACGTGTGGATGCCTCCTGCTTTTCTCTCAACTGGATTTAACTTCAGTCTGATTTTTTTGGTGTGATCTGCTGCCGAATTTGTGGTTATATGTGTATGGAAAGGATTATATAATTAAAGTTTACATTTATCAAATTTGAAAACATTAAACATAAATTGAACTAAACAGAAATTCACAAAACCTTTGAGACACAACATCCAAAGAATTAATTACAACTTGGGACTTAACCCAGAACTAAACCAAGACCAAATCAGGACTAAACCAGGTCTAAACTGAACTCACATCATGTGGTTGCACCTACTTGAATAAATCAGCTTTACAACATCAGTACCACCAGTGTATGTGTGCGTACCTGCTGTATTTGCCGGTGCGTGTGCCGAGAGCGCCCCCTGCCAGCGTGTTGAAGTGCGGCGTCTCACTGAGGGCTCCGGGGGCCACGGACACGGCCTCGCTCGGGCTTGTGGTGCTCAGACCGCTCACTGCTCCGTCCAGGCTGCTCTCGCCCAGACTGGGAGACTTCAGGGCCCTCCACGCATCTGCCACTGAACACGGACAAATGTCACTCAAAGGGCCCATGTTACACTGTTTTCTGAGCTTTATTATAACGTTGTTTCCTCATCACACCTCATCAGTGTAAGTGTGAGTACTTTAGAAATCATTGACTTATTGCATAAACATTTTTGCTGAAAAAAACAGTATTGGTAGGCTCATAGATATTCTAGTTCAGCAGTACTCTCTGTATCCTGACCTGTGATTGGTCCGTCGTCTTCGTCAAAGTCGATCCGGACGCCCCGCCCCTTCCCTCGGCTCACCCCACAGCCCCCGCCTCGGCACAGGGAGATGGGCACCACCCCGTACACATACGCCAACATGATCGGGACCCCAATTCCTGCGCACAAAGAAGGGAAACAAGGTTCAAAACACAGTAAAGATTAAAGGAAAGAACTGTATAATTTACACACAAATAATGTTGATAACCTGAATCCTCAAACTTTGTAAGTGATCATTTTGGTAACTAACATCTATACCAGGCATCTCCAACCTTTTTCTTTCTGTGAGCTATTTTGTGTAAAACGAAAATGCCAGAGAGCGTCTAATTTTAGGGCGAGGACTTTTGAATTTCTACACTCCAAATAAGACAGTGATTCTCTTTTCTTTCTATTTTTCATGTATTCCTCTTGTTGATTAAAGTTGATCAGCTGGTCTGTTCTGGAGCAGAGACGTACCCACACTGACGGCGGCGATGACCGGGGCTGTGATGATGGACAGGGCCACGCCTCCTGTGATCGCCAGGTTTCTGCGGTGACGGGACGATTTCTTCAGTTCGTAATGAGCGTGGATCTACACAGAGAACGAGAGAAAAGAGTTTTTGCATGAACTCCAGTGCAGGTGTAGTTTTGAGGGTCAGATACAAAGAGATAAATAATAGTTTTGAATAATAGTTTTTAGTCAAATAATCGATCAGCAGGACAAGTCTTTAGGCGACCAAGAAATCCTTTAGTCCAGGGGAGTCAAACTCAAATTCACGGGCCAAAATTAAAAACTGGGACTAAGTCGTGGGCCAAACTAAATATTTACTGAAAAATTTCAACAACATCTGCATGTTTTTTCTTCTTTTGAGAGATATGTAATGTTAAACCTTTTCTTATTAAAATAAATGTTTAATAATAGTTTGCTTAAACATTGAATCCAAAATCCAGAAACATTTTAAATAAATAATGGCTCTATAGTCTATCTGTAGCCGGCGGGCAGCTCTAAAACATATTAGATATGATCTCACGGGCCTGAGTTTGACATGTCTGCTTTAGTCGAACCACAGCCCTAAACACAATGATGGTTATATAATCCTATAGGGCCACTACTAAACTCACACTCTGGCACAGACAAGGTTAGTAAAGAGCAGACCTGGGCATTGTCCAGCTCTGGGGCCACATATGGCTCTTTGGTTGACTCTGACCGGCCTGTTTGAGCTCGTTTGGAATTACAAAATAAACATATTTTATAATTTTACCTCATGCATGGCCTAAAACTGCATTACTTTTATTTTAGAGGTGTTTCTTTAGTGACATTTTTTGTAAGGCAACCTCATTTTTTCATTGCTTAGTCATAACATAAACTCCGGCTTGTCAAAACAATGATATTTACTGCTTTTTATAAAGAAATACAATTAATATTTTGCAGAATTCAGTTAAGCATTTTGATCCATAATATTGTCAGTTTCTCACATTGCCCCATGGAAAAAAATAATTGCCCACCCGTGGTAAAGAGCCTTGCCTCACTCTTTTTTGATAAGGTCTGGCTGTATTGTTTTTAAAGGTGCACTCCGCAACTTTTCTGCTTTTCCTGCTGCTCAAAAATACAATAATTCCTTCTGTGAATGAGGGCGACTCTCCACAGATCTCAACTGTAATGTAACGTCTGTGTCTTTTATTTTATGTATTTATTTATTTATTGTTTTAATCTATTTTTGTAGTACTTCTTTTATGTACTGATTTTATTGTTTTTGTTCATTTATTTTATTATTATTATTTAATTTATTGTTAATTGATTCTATTAGTTTCCTCTTGGTTGAAACATAATTCTGCTGATTTTTTATTTTTTATTTTTTTTTCAAGAGTTAAATGTTTTACATTGCTATGTGAAGCCCTTTGGAAATTGTTTTATTTATAAAATGTGCTATACAAATAAAGTTGGATTGGATTGGTAGTGCTGTAACCTGCTTGTCTCCCTCATGATCTAATGATTGATCTGATCTGATTTAATCTGTACTGTGGAACATTCTGGACAAAACAAGAACATTTCCACGGAGCTAAGCAGGTGACGGATTCCACTAGAAATGTTACGCAGTGCGCCTTAAACTAAAACAGGTCAAAACTCGTCTTTAAAAACAGAAAAGCAGATCCTGGCTCCGGTCCATGTGACAGTTTTAAAGTATTAATCACTGATTGAGAACAACAGATCCTTTGAACATTTGGGGAGATTTGGACTAACGCAGACAAACAGTGAGTGGGCCGCCGTCTGAATCAGAGGCTCAAGGAAAACCACACAGACAAAAATCAAACAATAAACACAACAACAGCCAAATGAATAGTGCAGTATCGACACTGACCAGCAGAGGGCACCACCATGTACTGAATTTTATAATGAAGTAAATATTTGACTGATTTTTTTGCTTTTGATTTCACAAAACACAAACAAAAACAAGTGTAAAGAGAACAAAAAACATGAAAATGGTTTTGCTTTGCCTTGAATGTTCCATAGTCAAATATTAATCTTATCTATCATGTATGGATTGAATTACAGGTGTTTTTACGATTCAGAAAGTTCTTTCAAAACATACACACATTTTACATCATAAAAGTTTTAAAATTGTTATTATTATTATCGTTGTATTTTATTTAAATTATGCATAATTTCAAAGGGTAAACACACTCGCACTCTCAGTTTGAACCATTTTAAACAAAGCCGTGGTCATTTTTTGTCGTATAAACAAATTGTAAAATCCTTCCTATGACCTCTTGTATAAAGCTGATATTTTATATTTTATTTATTACTTAATTTTTGATTTTATTTAGATTTTTACTAGGGCTGGGCAAAAATTTAATCGTGATTAATCGCATGAGTTCGAGCGATTAATCGTGATTAATCACATGTTATACACAAAACCAATTAATGAATTAAAAAGTAGAGTATAGCGCTCTTTTATTGGAAATGTAAATGAAAGAGCCAAACATTTGTTGTGCAAACAGCATTTCTTTCACAGGGAAACCCTCAGAGCCTTCAAGGTATTCAGGGAAGGCTCAAGAAAAAATACTGAATGGACGTTTGTACTGTTGTAATATATTTATTGAATATTTTTTATGCTGTGAGTAATGAACACTACACTAGTAATAATTTCTAGATCAGTGTTATAAACTTGGACTGATATTTCTTAGGAAACAAAGGGTTAATATAATGGAATGGAAATGGACCAATCACAGTTTTTCTTCCAATGGTATCTGGGTGAATCAGTTACTCCAGCACTGAACTAAAGACTAAGCTCAGCTCAGAGCGCACAACTGGTCCGGCCAGAGCCGCGGCTGAACCCGCGGCTGAACCGCGGCTGGGCCCGCGGCTCGCGGAGGCTCGGGCACGTTGCATCTCACGTGGTCAGAAAAAAAGTGAAAAAAGTGTCAAGAAAAGACGTCAAACTTAAAGAAACGCTCTCGGTGGACTTTTTCAAAATAAAAGCCAGTGAGAAACAGACGTTTACAATAAAATAAATAAATAAATAAATAATAAAAACTGCGTTAACGGCGTTAAAATAATTGTCGGCGTTAATGACTTAATTAGTTAACGCAAAGTTAAGGCGTTAACGTGCCCAGCCCTAATTTTTACATATACATTTATATATTTATGCCTTATTTGACACCTGTCTCTTGCTATTTTTATTGCTACTTATTTAGAATTTATTATGGTTAGGGCTGGGTATCATTAACAAGTTGCCGATACGATACACACCTTGTGTTCCCTTGTGGATCAATAAAGTTGTTTAAGTCTAAAAGAGACAGTGTTTTGAACGGCTCTTTTAAATGAACAGATCCAAAAGATTCGGATCCCATAAAAGAGCCAAAAGTCCCATTACTATCATTTTCTCAGGTAATAACTAATACAGAATTTACTGAAGCAACTACTTTTTGTCCAATCATCAGACTTTTACTAAGAATAACGCAAAACCAACATGATCCTAGACACAGGATTCTTTGTGATGGTGCACTTTCAAGAGGGACAAAAGCCAAATAGCAGGAAGAAATTGGAAAACTATAAAGCAATAACAGCTGGACATTACACCTAGTATATTTCCATTTCCTGTTATCACTGTTATAAATAAACTTCAAGAGAAAAATGCAGAACCAAAACTGGATTAGCCCTTATCTCAGTATGATAAAGGTAAAGTAGCTCATGTTTTATGAACTCCTACAAAGATACTGAAGTGTAAACTGTAAACTATTAGTGAAAGACAGATTTGAAGTCCTTCCATGGAAAGTTGAAGAGCCCATATTATGCTACTTTCTGCTTGGTTATAAAGCCGTTTCCGCATCAAAAACATGCCTGGAGTTGTGTTTTGGTTCATTCACGCATGACATAACACAACTCCAGGTATGTTTTGAGGAGGAAACACCATTATAACAAGGATTAAAGCTCACAACAATCAATTTCAATCAATCAAAACAATCAACAATCAATACAGGATCATTAAGAAGAAAGCTCAAACTCAAAACTAAGCGGTATAAGTTTTGTGTCATATTCTTGTGTGTAGATTTGTTATTGAACCTGTTCTAAAGTCCATGTGGCTCACCTTTCTCCCCACGTAAACGGGGATGCCGATGACCATGGCGGGAACGGCGATCCCGGCGATGAGCGTGATCCCGACCGGAGCGCCGATCAGGGTTCCCAACTGCCACAGGATCTTCTTCTTCCTGCTCCAAGGCTTCTTCCCCCAAAACGTGCACCCGGACGGACTGTAGGGGGCGCAAGAGAGAGAGTGATGTTAGAAAAGTTAACAGCAGATGGATTTGTTAATTTACCGAGTTGCTTACACATTTAAAACGCTATACATTTTGCCTGAAGTTGGGTCATTTTATCCCTGAAAACCCATCTCTTTAAAACCACCTTTTATTAACTGTCTTATTTCTTTTGTTCACCTTTGTCTCTTCAGGTCAAGTGTCTGAGTATCTTGAGAAGTGCGATACAAGTGTTCTGAATTTAACATAAAACGCACAAACACAAACATTTTCTTTGAGCCCTTTGTGCATGATTTGAATGGATTTTTTTCAATGAATGAATCACAACTAAGTATAGAGATGAGGGGGTAGGTGAAAACAGACATTTTCTGAGCACTGAGTTTTGATTGCAGGAAAATACAGAGTTTAAAATACAACCCCGAATAACCTGATGATGACTGAACACTATTTTAATTCATTAAAAATAATCTTGCGTAATAAATCTTTATGTTTTTAAGTGTAACTAAACACTAAATCCACTTTCTTCACTACTTAACTGAATATGGGGTTTGAATAGGCTCTTCAATGGTCTCAGTGCAACTTGAAGTACTTGGTAACATCACACAGAACTGCCAGTCAGGTGTTTCTGATACAAAAACCTGGCTACGAGGGCGGAGTTTGTGGTGTGGATACCTGTTGGACCAATCACACTGTTCCTTATCCACTGTAAAATCTAATAAGTAGACGTTACTTGAAAAACATCTAGGAAACCGATTGCCTAAAGTGGACTGTGAATCTAAAGTGTAGAGTACAGTAAGTTCATCTTTTTCATCTAACTAGGCATAACAAGTGTACTTTAGTTCATTCATAGAACTCATGTTATGAAACGAATCAGCCAGTTCCTCAAATCTGAAATATGTAGTAACCTGTACTTTAAGAGTAAGTTACAAAACCGATTACCTTGAACTGAACAAGTAAATGTGACTTACATCCCCAAGTAAGAGTAAAAACAGGTTCTATTCTGCAATAATACAATTTAGATTTACATCAGGTGCACAAGGATTTGAATTAGTCTTTGAAAAAACTTAGCAAAACACATCGTAACATGTGTAATAATAAAATAATATAGTATAGCTCGGTCATTCCATGTAATTCAAACAAGGCCCCGCACTTTGGTCTCAAAAAGTGCTGGGAGAAACAAAACAGGAGTACAGGTGTAATCTAGAACAGACTGAATGAACAGAGGGAGGATATAGAGACAGCCCTGGGAGGATTCGGGAATAATAGATCCATGGGAATGAGTGGCGGCTGTAGGAAAAACAGGGAGGATGCAAAAGGTGGACCGGAACACACTGGAAAATGGAGCAGGACTCTTGACAATAACACGTCCCTGTTGAAGTTGCTTGTCTCATTTAAGTCGACCTTAGTCTAATTGACAAGTAATGCGCTTTTTTCGCCCTGAAAGTAACTGTTACTTTACCACAATCATTAAGATGCACAAATTCATAGCTGTGAGTAAAGTTTACAGATACAGAGGTTGTGTAGTTCACCTGAGGTAGTGCAGGTCAGAGATCTCCTTCATACAGAGCCAGCAGAACTCACAGCCGCAGACGGCGCAGGTCATGTGATTACAGCTGCCGTCATTCATTTTGATGATGTAGGCGCCGCAGCGAGGGCACGGCTTGATGTCATCAGCTGGAGACGAGAGATGAGAGAAAGACATGTCAACAACGTCATCACACTCCTCTTCAGAAATGTTTTTATTGTATTGTTTAGTTCTTTTTTTGTTTTGGATTGAAACATTATGAACACAGTGGCACATGGAAGAATAAATGTATTTTTTTTGTTGTTGTTTTTTGTTTTGTTTTTTTGGAATCTGAAAAAAATATAAATTGAAAATAAATAAATAAAATACACATTTAATAAGAATAAAAATAAAATAAAAAATAATAAAATAAAAATGTTATAAGAATAAAATAAAATTTAAATAAAAAATAAACATAAAAAATAATACAATACACATTTAATAACACTAAAATAAAAAAATACAAATAAATAAATCCATACAAATCAAAATAAAAAAAATACAATCATCATTTAATAACATTAAAATAAATAAATAAAAATAAAAATGAAAAATGAAATTTAAAATAAAAATTAAAATAAACATTTATTCTTACACCTTCTTTTTACTTAAAACAGGATACAACTTAAACACAGGTTTTGAGCTTGGGGTTACGTGTAAAGTGGATGTGTTGAATAATTTTGTCATCAGAATACTCTACCTCGGAGAAAACCGTTTCTAAGAATATTGTAGTGACATTTAAAGCTGCTGCAGACGGAGCACAAAGAGCTGTTGTCATGACAAAAAGAACAAGAAAATACACAGGGTAAGAAAAGAAGGTAAAAATAGATCTTTGTGCTTCGCTGGTCCAGGTTTTCCCTGTGGTGTCTCTGGTAAAGCGAAGTGAGACGAGCTGAGCTGACAGACGACAGGAGAAAGACGGAGAGAGAAAGAGAGGAGGAGAAGAGAGAGGAAGAGAAGGAGAGAGGGAGAGAAGAAGAGAGACCAGAGAGGGAGAGGAGAAGACAGGAAGAGAGAGAAACAGGAGAAGAGAGAGAAAGAGAGAGAGAGAGACAAGAGAGGGAGAGGGGGATGGATGAGAAAGAGAGAGGGAGAGGAGAAGAGAGAGGCAGAGAGAGAACGAGAGAGGTAGAGAAGACAGAGGAAGAGAGAGAAAGAGGAGAAGGGAGAGGAAGAGAAGGAGAGAGAACAAGAAATGGAGGGGGGATGGACAAGAAAGAGAGAGGGAGAGGAGAAGAGAGAGAACAAGAGAGGAAGGGGTGATGGATGTGAAAAAGACAGAGAGGAGAAAGAACAAGAGAGGGAGAGGAGAAGAGAGAGACAGAGAGGGAGAGAAAGAAAGAGAGAGGAAGAGAGAGAAAAAGAGAAAGCGGAGAAGAGAAAGGAGGAGAGGGAAGAGTGGGAGAAAAAGAAAGAGAGAGGGAGAGAGACAGAGAGAGGGAGAGGAGAAGAAAGAGAACAAGAGAGGAAGAGGGGGTGGATGTGAAAAAGAAGGAGAGGAGAAGAGGGGGAACAAGAGAGGGAGAGAAAGAAAGAAAGAGAGAGGAAGAAGAGAGCGAGGAGGAGAGACAGAGAAAGAGGAGAAGAGAAAGGAAGAGAGGGAGAAAGAGAAAGGGAGAGAGACAGAGAGAGGGAGAGGAGAAGAGAGAAAACAAGAGAGGGAGAGGGGGGTGGATGAGAAAGGGACAGACAGAAAGAATGAGGGAGTCAGGAGAGAGTAAGATGGCAAGAGAAAGTGATAGAGAGAAAAGAAGGAGTCAGAGGGAGAGATGGAGAGATGAGAAAGATAAGTGGCGAGAGGGGGAGAGACAGAGACAGTGAGAAAGGGGGAAGGTGGAGAGACAAAGAAGAAGAGGGATGAAGGGTGAGAGAGAAGAAAGTAGAAAGAGACAGAAATGGGGTCAGAAAAAGCAGAAGAAGACTGGGAGAGAGAAGAAGAGAGACAAGAGAACGAGAGAGAGAGAGAGAGAGAGAGAGAGAGAGAGACACCGTGAGAGTAAAAATAAAAGAGAAGAAGAGTGAAGCGTGTGCGACGTGCTGGGGCTGTTTCAGACTGAAGTCAATAGGAATAATCCATAGAACTTTAAACTAAAGCTCTGTCCGTACAAACAGCCAAAGCTCTGCCCTTTATTGTATCGACAGAATCACATTATTAAGACGCATATCAAGCTGTGGAGACATTTAGATAAGAAAGTAAAAGGTCTAACATTACACAAAACTGACTCATACCTGGAGCTGTTTTTCTTCCACCTGCTCTGTTCCAACTTATGATGTCATGAAGAGGTAGTTTTAAAGTTCACAGCTACTTTTACTGTATTTTTTGTACTATAAGTCACATTTTTTTCATGGTTTGGGTGTTTCCTGCAAGTTATTCTCAGGTGCGACTTATAATTTCACATGTTATTTTCACACTGAAGCCACAAGACGGAGCTCTAGTCTTGTGTGTCAGTATCTGCTGCTCCTATTAGTCCTGTACCTCTGTCACTTCGCTCTACTGCGCATGTCTCCTGCAGAAAGAGCCTCTGTCCTGTCTGCATCGTGTCAGTGTCTTGTAGGATTTCAGCAGATTTCAGGCTCTCCAGGGGGCGGGGATAGGTGTGTCGATCAGGAATGAGTGGATGTCTGACTATTGAAGCTTGAGACATTTTTTCTCGTCATTTATACATACGGGTCATCGAGACGAGTTCCCCTCATTAATGTTCAGCATCAGTGTTTAGCATCATAACTTTTTTATCACACGGCAATAAACTGTTAGTCGTATTCTGCAGATTACAACTGATTACAAAAGTAGTGAAATATGCAGCCGAAAATGGTAATCGAGCAGAAGAAAGAAAGTTTGGAGTGAGCGAGAAACTTGTGAGGGACTGGTGAACAGCAAAGGATACTCGAACTGTAATGAAGAAAATAAAAAAAGCTCATCGTGGGCCGAAAGCTAGATTTTACCTAGAGCTGGCGAAGTTGCACAAAAGACAGGTCATTTCAAGATGATTTTGAGATGATGATTATTTCATTTCTGATTTTAAAATAAATTTCCCCCTAAAAAATGCAATTTATAGTCCAGTGTGACTTATATATGTTTTTTCTTCTTCATTGTGCATTTTTTGGCTGGTGTGACTTAGACTCTGGAGTGACTTATAGTCCGGAAAATACGGTAATTTGTGTTAAGTAGAGATTGGAAATTCCACATCTGAAATGGTCCAAATGATTCTAATGAAGGTGTATAGAGTTTAAAAACACAGTGGAGCACTTTCTGTATTACCATAACCATAACATCACAAGGTGGAACAAAGTGTTTTCTGTCTGAGAGAAGAACTCAGCCTAAATATGCAGGATTGATGTGTTAAACAACAATTCTGGGTCATTTCAGCCGTGAAATTTCTAGTCTCTACTAAACAAAAGGCCAAAACAAAGATCAGATTAAAGCCTGACTTGAGTAACAGAGCTTCAGACAGAGCGGTGCTTCCAGTTAGCTTCACACAATAGACTATAATTCAGATCTTAGTAGTTATTTTGTTCTCTTTGATTTTGTGTTTATCTTCTGCGTGTTTACTGATTCGACAGAGTGTGTTGTGTCTCACCGGGCCCCTGTTCCTGGGTGTAGCTGGGGGAGTGGTTGCTGTGCGTGTGAAGAGACTGCGCCCTCTGCTGGCGGGCGGAGTCACAGGTCTGGTTTGGGTGCCAGGCCTGTTTACAGTGGTAACAGAACTCGGCTCCGCAGCCCTCTCTGCGGCACACGAGCCTCGGACAGCTCGCACACCCGGACGCGATCACCGCAAACCTGAAACACACAGACAAACAACCTGTAAAGCTCCTGTAACACAATTATGTTTATGTGAGCAGGTCAGTTCATTGTCCGATAATCAGGAAGTGTGTGTTGGCATGCTAATCGTCACCGCAAAACTCCGCTCTGGTCTCTGAAAGCTGCGAAAAGTAATTCTGAACTCATTGTGGTGAATAATTAGGATGTTTAGAAAGCAAACGGTAAGTGAAGAATAACTTTGTGATGTTATTGCTTTGTCTGGAATGTTTCAAACCTTTCTACCTTCATGGAGACCAAACTCGCCAAGTTACAGGTCAGATCTGTGGAGAGGCGACCCCGCTCAGTCCGAATGTCTGTTTTTCTAGGTATTTTTGAGCTATAAAACCACCTGTGATTGAGTAAATGTAATGTAGAGCTGTTTATAGAGTCATTAAAAACCCTCTCGAAGCTTTACTCTGCCCCTAAGCAAAATCTGAAAAATCCTCCAGAGTGAGCAGGGCCTGGCGGGTTGGGGAGGGTGGGTGTGAGGTGGGCTCTGGAGCGATAATTGACACCCGACCGACACCAACAACAATCCAACTCTGTGCGAACCGATGCGCTCTGTACTTTGAAACAGAGCGGACATTTGTGCTCGGATCACGCCGTTTCCCTTTTCCCCAAACACGGCGGGACATGGTGGTGCCCGGCGGTGCCAGGTAGGGGCGGGGCTGAGAGGCACAGACGCCAGTGGCTGTTCTTGTCACATAATAACCTGCATCTGACTCACTGGCGACGTTAGTCCAACCTGAAAATTCTGTACTGGCTGTAGTTGATCATAAAGAGGCCGTTACAGACACGACTTTGGAATGTGTGTATCATTCGTTCACTTGTTTTTTTATATAAAAACAAAAATAAGAATATGAAAAAAAAAAAACATATTTTCTTCATTATTTGTCTCCAAAACCAAAATGAAAAAATGGATAATGATAAATTTTTTCAGTTTTCGATTTTGTGTTTAAAAGAATAATGGAAAAAACAGATAATAGACTGAACAAGGACTAAACCAGTACCGAATCAGGACTAAACCGTTTTCAATCCTGGTGTGTTCCTGGTCTGGTCTGGGTCTCAGTCCTGGTCTGGTTCCGGTCTGGTCCCTGATCTCGGAAACGGCCATTATTTGTTTTTTCCATTAATCATTTAAACACAAAACTGAAAACTGAAAAAACAAATTGTTATACGTTTTTCCATTTTGGAGACAAATAATGAAGAGAATAGTTGTTTTTTCGTTTTCTTATTTTTGGTTTTATAATTGAAAAACAAATTAACGAATGATACACGTATTCTTTGGACCCAAGTCAGATTTTTAACAAATATGAACTAAAATAAGAAAAAATAGAAAAAAAGTGATTTTGGTGTTTAGTGACCCTTTAATGTTTAATGTTATACTGTGGAACATTCCAAGCAGAGCAATGACATAGCCATCGAAACAAGCAGGTACATACTGCAACTTTAACTAGTCGTTTCTCATGTTTTTAAGGCAGTAAAAATCTGGTGCAGCGTCTTTCAGTTAAAATACAATGTTTTGTGGTCTCATTCTTTGTTGTCTTGTGGGTTTGTCAATACAACATCAAGGTTTGTGTGTCAGGATGAACCAAACAAGTGACTAAACAAGGTCAGTGGTCTAAACGGTCTAAATGAGTTTTAAAACCAGGCCGCTTTTAAAAATGAGAAAAAGTCCCAAGAGGCCAATCAATACAGGATAAAGAAACTGAAATAAAGCTGTGCACTTACAATTACTAGAATCATTTGGATAATTTCAGCCCTGGATTACCGGTCTCTATCTATCCATTTAGACTTGAAGCACGCCCTCCACAGTTTGAGAAACACTAGAGCAGTCAATAAAAGCCTGCGTGGGTCAGAGCTCTGTAACGTGTCCTGTAATGGTCAGTGGAAGATAATTCGATCAGTGCAGTGAAAGGTTTTGGGGCAGAGCAGAAAGAGCTGGATGAGATCAGTCAATGAGGATTTGATGTCTTGAATTTGAGACTTCGGAACGGCGTCTAATCGGGTTAAATATGAATTAACAGAGAAATGGGACTTGTATATTTTATGATGCAGTCTCTGGTCTGCAGACGTTGCGAAGAGAGGGCGAGACGATATTGTAATTTAATCGATATTACTATTTAAAGGTCCATTATTACGCAAAATGGACTCTTTGTATGAGCTTTAAGTCATGTTATAAAGCTGTTAACTTCTCAAAAACAGACCTGGAGTTGTGTTTTGTTTCATTCACACATTCACATCTGTCTACATCTCCAAAGCTCAAAATGCTCTCTTCCACCTTGTGATGTCATGAAGCGATAGTTTTCAAGTGAACAGCTACATTTAATCTTTAGTTCAGTAGAGATTGGCAATTCCAGGGCTGAAATTATCCAAATGGTCCTAGTGAAGGTGTATGGAGCTTAAAAACACAGTGGAGCACTTCCTGTATTACCACATGACATCTCAAGGTGGAACAGAGTGTTTTTTGTTTGAGAGAAGTTGCAGTTTGTTAAACAAGTGTGAATGAAACAAAACACAACTCCAGGTCTGATTGTGATGAGGGAACAACATTATAACTAGGGCTGGGTATCATTAAGAAGTTGTCGATACGATATCGATTCGATACCATATATTTCAAATCAATTCGATACGGTTCAATAAAAATAAAGCCTAACTCATGTGTGTCTTGATTAAACCATTTCTTGTGCAAAGTTACTCATCAATACAATGAAAATGTCAGAAGTGTTGCATGAAAAAGTTTCCTTCCTCTGAACAAACAACAAAACTGTAACAAAAATACTTAAGTAATTAATTAAGTAAATATACTCTTGGCGATATATCGATACAGCAGCCCACGATATCAATACTGTATCATCACATTAAACGATACGATATGTTGATATTTTGATATTTTTGCGCACCCCTAATTATAACACAGATTAGAAAATAGCCTTAGAAATGCAGGGGATTCTAACAGAGGTGGGACCCAGTCGTTGTTTTGCAAATCTCAAGTAAGTCTCAAGTCTTTGACCTCAAGTCCGAGTCAAGTCCCGGCAAGTCAAATACAGACAAATCCAAGTCGAGTCTCGAGTCACTGGCCCATAAGTCCAAGTCAAGTCCAAGTCGTCTGCTTTGAACTTCAAGTCTTTAAACCAAACTACCAAATATAGCTTAGATTTTTACAATTTACATGAATTTTAAACTAAATGTACTTAAAAAGTCATGGTATATTTATATATGAGTATTATATAAGAATTGTAGAAATGCTATGTTTTACTTTTTAAATGTCTTGGTAAAATTTGTGAAAAATCCCTCAGTCATCCAGGTAGAATCCAACGCAAAGAAAAAATTCAATTTATCACCTGGACAAAGTTTACCAAATATTCGCCCAAATAAACTTTGCCCAGTTGACAAATTGAATTTCTCCTTTGCCGTCTTGACAAGATCATAGTGTGAATCATGACAGTCAGAATAGAAAGAGTTCAGATTTGTGCTTAATAACTTTAATTTTATCATGAAGGCTGCACTGAAATGGAAGGATCATGTTCTTTGTAGTTCCCTCTGTTTTACTGTATTGTACTGGATATTACTGTATGTGAAGTCATCCAGGGAGAATCCATGGCGAGGAGAAAATTCAGTTTGTCGACTGGACAAAAGTTAGTTCGGTTGAAGATGTTTCGCAGCTCATCCAAGCTGCGAAACATCTTCAACCAAAGCCATATATTACTGTATATTATTGTATATTAGTGTAGTACATTTGAAGATACCATCTCACAATACTTCAGTTTAATCCAAAGTAAAAAACAGAAGTGTGTTGAGGTATGGTCCAGTTTATTCCTGTAAAATTATTCACCACATTTATCAAAGAGAAAGTATTTTCTAAAAACATACATATATTTTAGAAGAAGCATCAAGTTTTCTCAAGTCACAGCCCTCAAGTCCGAGTAAAATCCCAAGTCATTGACCTTCAAGTCCAAGTTGAGTCCCAACTCTTAGTCCTTTTTATCACATCAACTCTCAAGTCCTAAAAATAGTGACGACTAAGTACCGTCCCCACATCTGCTAAATGATCAGTTCATGTTTCAGTCTTCTCTCAAATATAAATACGTGCAAGATTAATGACATACTGTGGAATATTTCAGCATCTCCATGGAGACAAATAGATGTGACCTCCACGAGAAAAAGTTACATAGCGAGTCTTTAATTTCTTAATAGCTGACCCAGTTCCAGTAACAAAATATTATACTAAATTTGCATAATAATTCATGTTACTCAAGCTGCTGCTGGGTGCCAATGCAAACTATTAAACAGCCCCATATTGTCTATAATTACGCCCACTCAAATGTGCACAAATGATTTCAAAATGCCCCAATCACTGCTGTAATTAGTCGCACAAAAGCATCGCAATCTGGTTTAAGACACTGTCACTCAAACACCAACCACAAAGAAAAGCTTGTGTGAAAATTGTCAGAAAAAAAAAAAAATAAGTGGGGGCAGTGAGTTGTGGGAGTGAAAAACAAAAAAAAAAAAGATTTCTTGTTTCCAATCAACAGTAATTTAGAGAATGGAAAAGTACTTTAAGTAAAACCTCCGACGCTACACCCTGACATGCCCCTAGTTAGCGCCGGTGACATGGTAGCGTGTTAGGAATGAATCAGAGCAGCTCAAAGCTCGAAACAAGACGAGACAAGAAGAGGAGGCATTCCTGAAGAGGGCTATCCGAGACTAAATGTTCTGGAGAAACAGCTGGTGAATGTTCTGCCAAAGGGGAAAAGTCTTCTCCAGATTTGGGGTTTAAACACTAGACTTGGTTTGGGACATGTTAAGCTATAAATATCACCATAATTATAACTATAAATGTGAACTTGTTTAAGAATTTAAGAAGCAATCTGCGTAATCCCTCAGAAAAATGTGATCTGTCAAAAGGTCTTAGCCAAAGAAAAGAAATGGTTTAAGAAAGCGGAGTTAAAGAAACATTTTTAGAAGGAAAAACAGTC